TTCATCAAGTCATCAAGCCTGACAAGGGTCATGTTCACGACGGGCTGGATGGAGGAGATGTTGGCATCTTCTTTTTGGAATGTGAGGTTCAAGCGGATCACCACGGCCAAGACGTCAGTCAGCAGGTGATTAAAGGCAGGGAACATGAGCGTTTAGAGGCACTTTCTAATCCCCTTAGCGACCGGACAGTTTTTGTCAGCTTCCTACTCCTGCAACTCCAACACCAGAGCAACCCAGTTGGCACGTATGCCCTTAACTGCCCTCTCCAGCGACAGCCAGCGTGTAGCTGATGTTTGTTTTAGGCTCAGCAGGTCGTGTTCCTCCATTTCGTTTTGGAGTTCATTTAGTCCGTGTGTTCGAATGGGGGAATTCTTGTAGTATGTGTATATGTTCTCAATTGTCGTAACATACGCACTTATTTCACGCACAGCCTTGGAGGCATCGCGCGCAGCCAATGCCGTTCTGTGCGCACCACAGTGAATGTTTACGAGTTAGGGAAAGTCATTCACCGCATCTTTTGTGCAACTCCGTCCTTTCGACCCACCATCACATTCGCTCCATCACTTCCCAGACCGACGACCCGAGCCATAGCTACAACACGGCCCGATAGCACATCTTTTATTTTTGTTGTGATGCATTCTGGAGTGCCAGAGGGTATTACATAATTGCCAATAAACACGGTTTCAAGCTCCCCCTTTATGCTGAAGTGCATTTTCTCAACCGTGATATTAGTAGTTTCATCTACTATTACCCCAACGTATTTACTGTTGGCGATGTGATCATCGATAGTGCTGGTTATGGTCATTGCTATTGCCTCCTCCATCTGATGTCTGACTGTCTCATGGTGGGTGTACGTGTGCGCACTGTTGAGGTCTGGACATCCAGCAGATTGTAATAGATGTATTAGGTTGGGATATAGGTGGCTTGGGGTGTTTGTATTTGCCATATGCGATTTCTCCACATGCTTTACCATTGCCACGCTCTGGTTGACCACCCTTGAAGCTTCGATGTGGCTATGGCTACTTTTGTGATCATTCAACGCTGATTCCTGCATCGTCGTGCACCCTCGGGCAAATCCGTTACTCATCTTAGCTTCTCTACAAATGTCGCAGAACATTTTGCCAAAATGTTCTGCGACATTTGTAGAGAAGCTAAGATGAGTAACGGATTTGCCCGAGGGTGCACGACGATGCAGGAATCAGCGTTGAATGATCACAAAAGNCTCTCTATGGAGCACCTGTAGAAGGTCAGGATCCTCTCTATGGAGCACCTGTAGAAGGTCAGGATCCTCTCTATGGTGCACCTGTAGAAGGTCAGGATGCTCTCTATGATGCACCTGTAGAAGGTCAGGATCCTCTCTATGGTGCACCTGTAGGTCAGGATCCTCTCTATGGTGCACCTGTAGAAGGTCAGGATGCTCTCTAGGGTGAATCTGTAGAAGGTCAGGATCCTCTCTATGGAGCACCTGTAGAAGGTCAGGATCCTCTCTATGGTGCACCTGTAGAAGGTCAGGATCCTCTCTATGGTGCACCTGTAGAAGGTCAGGATCCTCTCTCTATGGTGCTCCTGTAGAAGGTCAAGATGCTCTCTAGGGTGCTCCTGTAGAAGGTCAGGATCCTCTCTATGGAGCACCTGTAGAAGGTCAGGATCCTCTCTATGGTGCACCTGTAGGTCAGGATCCTCTCTATGGTGCACCTGTAGAAGTTGTAGAGTATGTCCGTGTCCATGTCTAACCTCTGCAGGTTCACTGTAACTACTGTGCATATGACAATAAAGCCTTTTGAATCTTAAATCTGGTCAGATGTAGGAAAAGATTATGGTTTGTGTCAAAATAAGAACTTTTGTCATGGAACATATACCAACGTTACGTAGGATACATTACTTTAACTCTACGTACGTAATTTAAAATAACTCAATCTTGACTTTTTACATCGGACATGAAAAGCGCTGACCTGGGGGAAAATAGCTAACTGCACTTTTTCCTGGTTGTTGCCTAGACTTTACGAGTTGGTAAGAGTTCTGATGTGTGTTTTCCCATCATCTCTCTCAGGTAGACATAGAAATGTCTTTTGTGGAGCAGGCAGGCATCCTGGCCCTGGTGGAGGGGCTGTTAGCTTACTCCTGGTCTGCAGAGAAAGATCCCGTTCAGGTTCCTTTCCAAACCATGACGTATGAGGAGGCCATGCGGGACTACGGTGTGGACAAGCCTGACACCAGGTTCTGCATGAAGGTGAGTTGTTTGAGTTTTATTTACATTTGTTTGTTTCTGAAATTCTCCTTGATGCCTAGATGTCAGAGCTGACAACAACGTAACTTAAAGTTAGTTAGTGTTTACTTCCTGTCAGCCTGCTTCTGCTCTTACTGTTAGTGTTTACTTCCTGTCCGTCTTCTTCTAGTGATTCATCTGACATCCAGTGCTCTGTCTTTTAACCTCTTTCTTTCCCTTCTTTGATCCTCCTCAGCAATGGTCATTAGTTTGCGTGGCAGTAACCTCTGGAATGTCCAAATTGACAAATTAGAATTGAGTATTCCAGTCAGCCGTGTAACAATTACTAATATTACCCTTCTCACTAAATGGTATTGCTACGACTGGAGATGAACCTTGTTTTTCATATTTTGGATCATTTGTCCATTTGGACTCGCAATTATAAACTAAGTTCACAACTCTGCACTGCAGCTTTTAAATAACAGTTTTTATGTGGTCTCAATCACAAAGCTTGCCAAAATGTCTCCAGCTGGTTTATTTGAGGTGAGATAACATGGGGCTTAAGTTTGGGTAATGTCTTCTCTCTGTTTGTTTTACACATCCTGGTTCTCACAGGGAGTGTCCGGGCTGCACTGGGTCACAGGGGATGCTGTTTACTGGCCCTGATAACTCTGGTGAACACAGCTAGTGTTCATGGGACAGAGACAAGCACCATCATTAAAACATGAGTGGAGCACTACCGGGCAGAACATGTGAAATGTACAAAGAATCGCATTGTTCATCTAGGAACACTTCTCCAGATATTAGGAGATAACTAAAGTAAGGGGCTATAAATGAGTTTTTAATTTTGTATGAATACAACATATTTTTGGCATTTTCAACATGCTCAGTATTGTGTTTGTATTCTCTGATGAACAATCTATTACTGTGTGAATATGTAATGCTCCAAAAAAATAAAATAACAGTTTGTTCTGCCAAATCTGAGATCAAGAAGAGGTAAAGAAAGAAGCCTGTTGGACTTATAATGTTTTATTTACCAGAGCCATTTTAGTTTGACCTATAGTGATGGAATTTGCATTTGAAAAGCAACCTATGTTCCACATTGAAACACAAACATTATTTAAAAGTTTTATGTTTTGTTTTTTTAAACACTGTGATACTCGGTGTTTTGTATTAGCTTTTTTTATTTCTTAATGTTATGATTTTCTCTTTTTGTCGAATCAAATGTATTACATGTACATTTATGTTTTTATGATATGTGTTCTGTTTGATTAATCAACAGGGCTGTAATTGTGATGGGGCTCTGTTAGAGCAGAAACATGGGGGTGAATTGTACCTAACTGTATCTGTCATGAATTACATTATTAAGACTTAAAATAAAAAATTGTATAACTAATAATAATTCTAAGAAATGTTACGTTATTTCCAATTGAGCCATAAGAGCCCAATGAGTGGTGTTTTTAACCATGAATTTATCCGTTAATAATCAATGATGACAGTAAGTGTATGTTCAGGACGGTGTGAACATGACTGTGGAGTTGTCTGAATCTCTCTCTGTTCTCTCTCTCTCCGTGTCCAGCTGATGGACCTCAGTCCGGTTTTCTCATCCACTCAAGCAGAGTTCCTCAGATCAGCTCTCAGCAAACCAGCAGGCTCCGTTCAGGCCATCTGCGTCCCCAGTGGAGCGGTGAGGAAAAATACATCCAAGCATACTGTGCATACGTTGTGAGTTACAATGTGACAATAATTAAAAACAAAAATGTGTTTCTTGTGTTTGACTACAGAAACTATTTTCTGCTAAAGATTTGGAAGAATTGAAACGGACCGCTAGGACTCTGTTTGGACAAGTAGGTTTCTCTGATTTTTCTCTAAATGACTTTTTTCTTATTATAGATCAAGTAAATTATATCACAAATAGGGATAAAATTAGAGGAAATAAAAAGTTAGTCACCTACATTGGATGTACAAGGAATCTTTATGAAAAGTGTCTTTATGTGTAAGAGTATACAAAAGGAAAAGTATTGCTGTGCACTGAAGAAGTCTATCCAGTTGTTGAGATAATTTAGTCTGGACCAAAGCGTGGCTAATATTGCCATTCTTAGAGCAAAGCTGCTAAAGCGGCTAAAAACAATAGAACGTGCGTAGCGGTATATACGGAAGCCCTGAGATGACAGTGAGAAAAACACATTCTGGTGATCCATTGCCTAAGCCTGATCCAAACGGTTTCCTTCTCCTGTGTTTATAAACACAAGCCAAGATAATAGTTATTATTTTATTTAAAAAATGATCTTTGAAACATATATTGATATGATTGAAACACAAAAGAAAGAAAGTCATGAACAGTTATGTACTTGGTAAATGTGTATAGGCCAAACTTTTTTTTTTCATTTGGCAAAGCCTTTTTTTGTGTGTTTCACAAATTAACATTTATGTTGAATGATTTAGAAATAGAATCATTTTTTTTTTTATCCTGAAAGAAGTAATTGGATCAGACCTAAAAAGAGTTTTCCAAATTCATTTTTTTGTTTGCCGCTCAGGGCTTCCATAATTATGCTAAAATGACAGCAAACCAATATGTCACCTCTCAAACCTCTGTAGAGTTTGAAAGGTATTATTGTTTCCAACCCCAGTGTTTCCACATTGTCTCTTTTCTTCTCAAAGGTAACCTATTATGCAAAAGTATCAGGAAATACAACCCTCTCTCTTTTCCTCCTTACACACATCTCTAAAAACGGGGGCACAACGGAGCTGATCCAGATTTGCTGCGCTCATGACTAAAATGTGGGCTGGCTTTACATTGAACTCCTGGCAATGTCCCAACCTATTGTCCCTATATACAGTCGCTAGCTGAATCCCCTCCCTCAGCTGTATGTCTGTGTATTCAGCCGGATGTCTACGAGAGGGACTTAAGAGTAAAGTTGTTATATATATATATATATATATACAATGGCACTATTCTAGCGGTAAACACTGAATAAAGAACATGCAGAGGTATGTGCTGTACATACTTGCCAACCAGAGGTCGCGTTAACCGAATATTTTCCGTCAATGACGAATTTTTTCTAACAATGACTGAAAATTCTGAAAGCAGTCACAACAGATTAGAACACAACTCGGAACAGCGCCAAAATGTCCACCAGCGGCCCACATTATATTACATCCTTAGTGGCCAGGTCGACTGAGGGCGATCTACTGTACTCTACTGTAGTCTGTAACTATTATTTAGTCATTCAAACCCCTGTCCAGTTGGTGGCGAGTGTGTGTATATTAAGTAGCTATTGTCTAGTCTTGTTTTTGACCTCGTTGATTACCTCGTTGTTTGACCGGCTTTAGCAATCGCAAAATCGTCCGCAGCTTTTTTAATAAGCCCAGTAATTGTGATGGTGTGGATAAACGAGGTGAAAAAAGAGGGATTGATGCAGTGGAGGATGAGCCAGTAAGACTAAAACTGACAACGTTCAGCCAGTGGCAGAGGGGCAAGCAAGTGGCAAGGAGTTCAAGCGGGAGTACCGGGTTCAGTGGGAGCAAGAGTTTAAGTGGCTGAGGAGGGAAGATGGCAAAATGTTCTGCGACATTTGTAGAGAAGCTAAGATGAGTAACGGATTTGCCCGAGGGTGCACGACGATGCAGGAATCAGCGTTCAGGCTAGGCTACAGCAGGTCAATTAAATTGTTCTTGTAAATGTGTTGTTCATACAGTATTTTGATTGTAATTGTCTCATTTAAAACGATGGCATTGTTCATATTTGCCTGTTTAGGCACAATGGTTGCGTTGTTTTTAGCGGCCTCTGCCGCTCTGCTGTGCCGTCAGTGCAGGAACAAATAAATCATTCATGTTCGTGTTGACATGAAAAGTGACCACACGGTCGGTGTCTCTGTTCACCTTTTTTTTTCTCCATGCCCTTAAAANCTACAGGTGCACCATAGAGAGGATCCTGACCTTCTACAGGTGCTCCATAGAGAGGATCCTGACCTTCTACAGGTGCTCCATAGAGAGGATCCTGACCTTCTACAGGTGCACCATAGAGAGGATCCTGACCTTCTACAGGTGCTCCATAGAGAGAGGATCCTGACCTTCTACAGGTGCTCCATAGAGAGGACCCGAGAGAGCATCCTGACCTTCTACAGGTGCTCCATAGAGAGAGGATCCTGACTTTCTACAGGTGCTCCATCGAGAGAGGATCCTGACCTTCTGACCTTCTACAGGTGCACCATAGAGAGCATCCTGACCTTCTACAGGTGCACCATAGAGAGCATCCTGACCTTCTACAGGTGCATGTTACGACCCTGGGTCGTTATGTTGTTGTGTGCAGGTATTTTCTTCCTCCTCCTGTGTCTGTGTGGCTGCGTATGAGTGAACAGGTGGTGCCCGGTAGCTGATTGGAGGCCCTCGACAGGCAGATTGGTCCACCTGGGGAGACGGGAGGATATTTAACTGCAGCCGTGCAGTTCCTCGGCCGCTAGCGCTGACTCCACTTCTCCTACTCCCGGCGCGGCGCTTTTTGATATTTTGTTCTATGGTGTTGTGAGTGCACTTTGGTATCGTTTCTCCTTCTCCATAGAGAGGATCCTGACTGGCTGCATCACGGCCTGGTACGGCAGCTGCACCGCCCTCAGTCGTGAGGCTTTACAGAGGGTGGTGAAAACTGCACAGCACATCACCAGGACGGAGCTGCCCTCCATGGAGGACCTTTACTTCCAGCGGCTCATGAAGAAAGCCCTCAGGATTATAAAAGACCCCCATCACCCCAGCCACAAACTGTTCAGTCTGCTGCCGTCTGGCAGGCGCTACCGCAGCATCAGGACTAAAACCACCAGATTCAGAGACAGTTTCATCCCACAGGACATAAGATTGTTAAACACCTGAGCTTGCACTACTTTTTTTTTTGGGGACAATTTTATTATATTTTTATGAAAATCTATGTCTTGTAATTGCACTGTTGAGGAGCGTTTGACCTACATTTTTCATTCATTGCATAACTACACCTTAGTTGTGTATGTGGCATGACAATAAATCTTTGAATCTTCAGATATAGCAATGTACATCTGAACTCCCAGGCTCCTCCAACAACGCAGCATAAATATATATTAAGACACAAAACAATAAAAATACTGAAAGAATAAACTGAATATAAAAAAATTAAATAGTGCAAGAGAATGTTGCAACACTAATGTGCATGTAATGCACGAGAAGTAAACTATATACAAGTAAAATACAGAGTTAAAAACGAATTACGGTACAAGAATTAAACACTGCTTATTGTAGTAATAATAGAGTGTGAGTTGACAGATTACATTACATTACATTACATTGCATTTAGCTGACGCTTTTATCCAAAGCGACTTACAATAAGATGAATGCTTTAGGTTATGAAGACACTTCCCAAAGCTCAGGAGTTCAGCAGTCTTATGGCCTGTGGGATCAAACTGTCTGGTTGTCTTTCTCCTGATGCTGCGGTGTTCAGGTAGTTTTCGTTCCTTAAAATAATTAAGTAGTGAGTTTTCTAGAGGAACTGTGTGTGTATACTGTGAAGTCACTGTAATATTAACGGTTTACAGGCATGACGATGTGATCCTCCTCCATCCTGAGGCGTGCCTTTTTTTAGGAAACACTCCTGTGAGTTGTATCAGAGGGTAGGAACAAACAGCATGTATGGTCACACAGGTTAGTACTTAGATTGTACAGTTTGGTAAGTTCCCCGACTAGATTTGAAATGTTCGGCTCAAATACCAACCACTAAGGAAATAAAAAGAACAGTACAGTCTCAACATAAGTCCTGCTGTGTGGGTGCATTGTGTCCTCCGTCCTACCTGAGTGAACTCCGGCTGCCGGTCTGGTCTGGAGCCTTCATCTCGGTAGCAGCGAGCAACCTGGAAGTACCTGCCACACAGCGAAGACAAAGGATGTTATAACCAGGGGTGCACATAACTTTCTCAGTGAGGTACTCAGATGAGTACCTGGAGTCAGTGTTTGGTACTCCAACTTCTGGCTCCACTCAAAGTTATTTGATGAAGCCCTCTGTATCGCGAACGTCAACGGGGGGGGGGGGCTAGTGGAGTACTTCGTGACCACAGAGCGTCAACGTTGTGATCAGCTGTTTTAGCGCAGTTCTCCAGTGAAGGGGGGGAGTCTCCCTCCGCAGCCGGTTGGCGTAGTTTTGGCACAATTCCGTTGTACAGACCGACGTTAACAGCAGCCCTGTCTGTGCACACGGAGACCGACTCTGTCGCCCGGTGATCTAACCGCCTTCTGGAAAAGCTTCACAAGTACGTCGGTACGCAAATACGCTTTGTGACACAAGTGACGGTACGCATTTCAGATTGTTGACGCGCATGCGTACCAGTTATGTGCACCCCTGGTTATAACTCACCTTCACTTTTTCTTTCTATCAACTTTCTAGTTCATGTTCAAAAGGTATATTGTTTTCCCTGTACAGAAAACATGCTGTATTAGCATTGGTTCAAAAATGTCAAGGAACTTAACGGCACATTTCAAATGTATATTTATGTATAGATGTCGCAATTGTACTAAGCTTTGGCAATTCAGTATGTCATAATGATCATGCTAATAAAGTTATTTGAATTGATTTGAATGTTGATAATTACATCCATCTGGGATATTGGCTATAGCATGTTGAAGTGCAAATATAAAAAAAAGTGTATAATATTGTATATAATACTCTAGGTTTAACAACAAATCATTTGAAATAACAAAAGTGGTATCTGACTATCAAATACAGGCAAAAAGCTAAAACATATCAAACACATATGTATTTTTCAGTGATGAGCATGTGCAGATCATCACAAACAAACAGGTTGCATTCAAATGTTCAGTTATCTTAGGAAGGTTTCAAACAGAGTGAAATGACCCAGAAGCACCTCAGTGTCAGCCATGTAAAGAAAATGTCTCCAGCGATGGCTCCCGTGCCTTTGGCTCTTCTCCAACTCTGCATTTTCTTCATTATATTTCAGTGTTTGTTTACATTTGGGTGTGTGCTTTTAACTTTGTCCGCTACATGCAAGCGGATGCTGGCCTTTCTATCTGCCAAGGGAATTTACAGCGGTTGTGCTTACAGCAGTGTATGTTCCCCCGCACGCCGACAACAACAACAACAACAACAACAACACAGCGCTGGACGAGCTGTTTGGTGTAATCCAGGGGTTCCCAACCCCCGGGCCGCGGACCATACCGGGCCGCGGAGGTGTTACTGCCGGGCCGCGAAACAGCTGTGAGTTTAACGTAATATTTGCAGAACTATAAATATATAAAATTATTTTGTCATGTTTTTTTCAAGAAGTGTCATATTATTTCATCCAGGAGCCTAGTTAAACTTTCACCAAAAAACAGTTGAAAATGGCTTTTATGGTGTTCCGAGGGATTCGGCGGCTCAGCCTAAGGTCTCAGCCTCTCGTGCGCACGAGAAAGTTACCGGTGCGCCAAGTAGGAAGAGGAGCACAAAGGAGACAACTGTTTCATTGCAGACTGTTATGTTTATGTGGGGAAATGGCAGTGCATACATTATTTGAGATATATTTCAAACTCAGACTTCATTTTAAGGACATGTCGGCCAGGGGTGTAGAGCTATTTGTTTAAGCACCGGATTGGCAAAACAGGAGAGTAAACCAGTCAGCCTGATCTATGAATTTATGTCCGGGACTCTCACAGTATCTGCTGCACATAGCTCTTTTATAGATGGAAAACCTCCTTCACTTCATGAAATGGCTGCAACGCCAGGAGGCAGCGGAACATGTAACTCCGACTCTGAGAAGTGCAGCACCAGCACGCCGAGAGCTGTGTCTTGTTACGCAGCGGCTTCCACTGTGTTTTCCTTCTTCAGAACAGGGCTTAGAAGTGATGCAAGGCTGCTACGTGTTAACCACCACCATCAAACCTGCCCGATTATTCCCCTCATTCACTCGCTTATGAAGGAGATGCGCGGTCACCAAGGCGCATGATGTGTCACGTGTGCACGCGGAACAACCACACGCACACACACTACGGCCGAACAAAGCCCACGTACTACCAACACATACGTGCCTAGCGCACGGTGGAACAGTGGACCCATGTTTATTTACCACTTTCCGACATGGATAAAAGCTGCCGGCCCTCCTTCGGGGAATCAGACCACATCTCACTGCTGGCAGCTACTTTGAACACGCACGGAGTGGTGTGTGTTTGAGGATGACAAGCATCAACACACACACGGACGCGTTTGCTAGCAATCTGGCAAATGCATCGATGCGTGAGTACTGAAGATACGGTTTACCGGACACGTCCTAACCAAAAGCCTGATAACACAGCGAGGTGCGTACCAAGCTGGAAAAGCGGCCGCAACAAGGGGAGACTTGGATGAGTAAACGGAAGTCAAAGTACGCGCGCTCAGACAGGGTATATGGGCAGGAATACTGAAGTCAAATGTAAAACTTTAAGACTTTCCAGACCCC